GCTGAAGAATTATTATACAAGTGGAAGCGCAAGAACAATTTTATTAGAGTTTAAAAGAAAAAACCCAGGGTGGGGAAGCTGAAATGTTAGCTTTCACCCAGGAGAGGAGAGCAGGAGAGAGAAGGGGACAGTCCATGCCCTTTAAACAAGCAGCCACATGGCAGGCAGGAAGGAAGGCTTTAGATAAAGAATAAGGAAGCCCAAACTCTGTGTGTGTGTGTGTGTGTGTGTGTGCGTATATGTTGGTGATGGTGGTGGTGGTGAGGCAGGGGTAAAGGGAGGGGCCAAAATGTTATGAAGTGTGCTTTGAAAAGCCATAGGAAAAGGTATACTTTTCTGAATAATTTGGAAAGGTGGACAGACTTAGGACTCTTGTGACTGTGGCCAGTTATCTTCAGCAATGGCGGAAGGGATTCTAGGAAGGAAAAGTGCAGTGTCTCATTAGGGAACGAGTTAGCTGGCTTATCTCTTATCACTGCTTGAAATGAGCCCCCCTTCCTAGGGATGGTCTCTTAGCTAAAATGACTGACCCATGAACCAGCCCCACTGGAACGTGAGGTCTTCCCCGGGCCTCAGAGTCTGTTCTCTTGACCCGGAGTTTTTTTCTACTCTAAGACCAGCTCCAGAGAATAAAGTGAATAAGAGAGCTTGAGAAATGGTCAGCAGGCAAGAAAGGGGACACACAGTTTTGAGCGCTTTGGGAAGGCCAGTACAAAAGATGCTATATTAGAGTGACCTGCAAGGTTCGCTTAGGGAATAATGGTCATCTCCCACACCAATGCTGGGAGGTGAGCACCATTACTTCTACTGACTACCTTTTTTTTTTTTTGGTTTGCTTTGTTTTTTCAAGACAAGGTTTCTCTGTGTAGCCCTGGCTGTCCTGCAGCAGAGGAGGGCCCTGCGCCTGTGTCCAGCTCTCAAAAAGCATGCCCATACCTCCGTTAGTTCCACTGGTGACCCTTTCATAAGATTTTAATATGAATGCCACAGCTGTTTACTCCAGCTAATAAAATGCTCCAAGACTTTCCGAGGGTCCCCTCTCACCAAAGAGGCCCTTGGAGTCTATCCTACTCTTCCCAGTTAGTGTCCGAAGTCCCCACGGTCAGTTTTCCTTCCTGTTAAAGAGACTGGAGAAGCCAAAGGGCGTCCTTGTGAGCTAGGAGATGAGGCTCTGCTTAAAAGGAAGAAAATGTGCTAGGGAATCAAATGTAGAGGGAAGGGATAATGAGGTTCCTACTTCTCAGTCCTAGGTTGGTTTGACAAACCCAAGAACCCCTTGACAGGTGTCAGCTCTGTCTGTCCTTGCTCCTCCTTTGTGTTTTTCTTTGGTTGCAGAAACCTTAATCCTAGTTTTGGAAGCGTCGTTCAATGCCTGCGCAGCCTCCGGCCTCTCGGCTCGCGCGACTTGAGCGCCCTCTCTCGAACAGCATCAGAACTGCAGACCCTGGTTTCCGAGAGTGAGCAAGCTGTCAGCTTGGTCTGAGTGAGTGGCAAAGCTCAAGGGACCTGATCAGCAGTTGATTTCTTTTGGAGGATCAGATTGCATTATCCAGGCCTGCTCCAGGACTACAGAAAGCAAAGAACAGTGTGGGTGGCCGAGGGTGCGGCCGGCATGAGCCTATAGTGACTGGCGCTTGTGGGATCAGCTGAGCTGTTGGAGGGAAGGGTGGGCTGCTTCCTGTCTGTCACGGGTAAGAGGATGAGTGTCAGAGTTAAAGGACCAGATTCAAGGCCCTCACTGAGAAACCTAGACGATGACAACTAGCGTGCTTCAGGGAAAAGCACAGTGTTGAAGTTACTTAGCAAGTCTCTAAAACCCGCGTGGGGTTTATAAGGTCCAGGTAAGTTTCCGCAAAACGGAGAAACAAAGCTGGCTTTCTCACTGGTGGGGTGGGAACATTGGACTCCTTGCTCAGTGACTGATGGAGTCAATGGAGTTTTCTTCCGTTCGATTAAGGAACCTTTACTCCCCTGGTTCAGTTTTCTTAGATGCTTACTATCTCTGTCTTCTAACCTAGGCCTAGTCCTGGAAGCTTCTAGCCTCATTACAATCTAACCTGGGCCTAGAATGTTCTCAGCCTCTGAGACATATTGCTGAACAAGCTCACCATTTCTCGTTCTTTCTGAGATCTGGGCTGGCTGGTCCAACTGACCTGTTCTGGCTCAAACTCTTCTCACAGCTGACTTATTCAACCTGCTCTAACTTCTCCGTCCCTGATTTGCTGTTTGGCCTCAAGCTAACACCAACAACCTGTTCTAATCTTCTGGCCCCTTTTCATTCTCTGGCTCGATCGTTCTGTCTTCACCTGAGTGCAACCCATCTCTCTATCATTGTCCAGTAAAACTGCCTCCTCTTTATCTGCATTGCCCATTAAGTAGCTTCCCTTTGCTCGTTAGAGTTGAGCATATCATATGCTGACAGATCTTTCTCTGATTCATTACTGTTTCTGTCACCCAATTAGACATCACTTTCAAACATGGGTGCTTCCTTCTACAAACTAACTTTACCTTCTACAAGCTAACTTTATCTTTATTGTTTAGGATTAAAAATGTGTACCACCACACCTAAGCTTTTCTTCATTTGATACTTGCTCTATACCAGGCTGGCCTTGAACTCAGAACTGCTTGCCTCTGCTGCCTGGATTAAAGGCATGTTTGTATTCCGGCGGGATCACACAGACCTAGAAGGGCTTTGCATGTGATCTCCTGCCAGAACAGCCATGTTCTGAATTAACATTCCTCTACAAAGGGGAATAATCTCACCAATAATCTTACTTTTAATTTTTCCTCCGAAAGTCAGCAGGTGTAGCAGAGGTTAGTGGGTGGTGTATGATTTCTTGCCCAAAGGGGTGTGTAGAGAAATGCAAGGTGTTGGAGGTGGGTCACTCTAAGACTCAATATGGAGGCGGGGAGACACAGTCTCAATGGCCAAAGAAGCGGTTGTCCCATCTCCAGTGTAGAGATTATGAGATCATGAAAACTGTGTTCAATGGATTATACATGAAAAGAGAGACATGTTTCAAACTTACGGTAAACCTGAAAATAAAACCCAAACTTTCCACTTCACCCTCACCTAGACAGTACTTATGCTTGGCTTCTTCTAGAGGTTACTACCTTGGGGAATGGCAGGAGTTTGGAAGGCCAGTTACTGCCATGGTAAATTATCTTACTGAGAGAAAAAGGAAAGAGTGTATTAGCTACACGGCAGCACAGTAGCAGCGGGCAAGGCAGAGAAGGGAGAACGTCAGGGCAAAGGCATCCTGGAGGCAGTTTTAATGCGGAGTTCTTCAGGAGCAGTGAGTTCCAGTGTGCCAGTGTGTCCTGGAGCAATTACAGCTGGGGCTTATCAGGGTTAACTTTTATTCTAGGCGATGGTCCTGCTATGAGGCAACAGCGCCCTTCTCTGAGCCCAGCCTGCTGTGGGCAGTAACAGCCTTGTTTGTGAGGCTAGAATAGCTTCAGATGGCTGCTCTAGACAGAAGCCCCAGTGTGAATTTACATGTATCCCTTTATAAACATTCTGTCTCACCTCCTAGTTAATTCCATTCCTCTTAAAAAGGTTTTTTTTTTTTTTTTTTTTTTTTTTTAAAGCGGAGACAGGGGACTTGCACAAGTTGGCCTCAGGCTCGTAATACTCGCAACCCCCCCTCCCCCCGCAATCCTGAATGTTAAGACAACATGTATGTGCCACTATGTCTTATTTGATTTGCAATTATTATGTTTCCCATGGGTTGTTTTTACGGTGTTATCTACAGGCCACTGCATTTATTTATTCTTATTTACAGAGCATTGAATCCAGAGCCTCACGCATGTGTTGGAGGATGATCTAATGGGTGTCACTGGCCCGCAAGATCTGCTTACACCTATCCTTGTTTTGTAAACCTACCTAAGACATATCTAACTGGTTGAGTAAACAGCCTGTATCTGGGCAGGGCAGAGTGGCATAGGTGTGGCTAAGGTTTCCAGCTTCGGACACAGACTCCAATAATGGCGTGGAAAGGCCCAGATGAAGAATAAAAGCAAGTACCATGGGATTCTGTATGGAATGTAGAACAGATGAGGAGGATTAAGGTGGATGGCATTGGATGGGGACTGGGAGGTGGCTGGAGAGGATACTGCGACAGCATAGGTGTAATATCTGCCTGGCTCAAGGTAAATAAGGCAATTATAAATCTATCAGGTGTCTGTGTCTTGGTAAACATTTGTGATAGCAGGTTAAATAATACCACTGTGACAATCTTAGGACTAATAATAAACATCATATAGCCCAACACTATTTTTTTTTTTTATTTACTACAACACACATGCTAGGCAAAAGCTCAACCATGGCCATGCTTCTGCTGTCTTAACATGCATACTCATTTAGACAAACTCCTTGTATGATACTGGCTAAGCAACACCAGAGTTCATTAAGAGACTGAAATAAAATCATATGCGAGTGAAGATATAATTTATAAGGTATAGTTGTTCTAAGGTTTTGGAAGATGGTGATCATTTAGAAGATGTTAATAGTTTTAACAGGCAAACATTTAGCTATATTCAAATACATATTATATGTGGTTATATGTTATATAACCATAACCATATATAATACATATTATATATAATATATAATATGTATATATAATACACATATATAATATGTATAACATGGTTATATTATATAATATATGTTATATAACCATAACCATATATAATACATATTATATATGGTTATATGTTTTACATATTATTTATGGTTATAAAGAAAGACTTCATGTTCTAGGCATAAACCATCAGGAAACATTTGAAGTAAAAAGATAATAAATGGAGCTAGAGAGATGGCTCAGAGGTAAGAGTACTTCCTCATCTTCCAGAGGACCCCTAGTTCAGTTCCTAGCACCCTTTTTTGGGGGATGGTAGGGTAGGGAGGAAAGGGCAGTGGAGAAGCTTCCTCACTGCCACAGAAGACTCTAGATGGAGGCTTTATTTCAAGAGGAGAGATAAAGGGAGTGATAGATAGAAGCTGCCCGGAATAAAAGGACAGGAGTTTCAAAGCAAACTGTATTGCTTTCTGATTGTTCCAGTCTGAATGAGCCAGCCGGCAATGCAGTGCCTCCAAGCCTTCATCTGTGGAACAGACAACACCTACCTGTGGCAACAGACAAGTGACGTATAGCAAGGGCTGTGAACTCCATGTTCACTTCCATTATTATCAGGGGACCAACAGAGCTTACTCATAAATGACAGAGAATGGAAGAGCACTAGAGAAGAGGGATGGGCTGAACAACGTGTTCTCAGACGTGCTCAGCTCAAGAATTTGTTCCTTGGTTTTCAGAAAACATAGAAAACCACAAGTCACAACATTAGCTCAGGTAACAACGGTTGTTCCAATACATGAATTGGAAAACATTATTTCTAAACCATGCTACACAAGTTTGGAAAAATGAGTGAATAATGTTTTACTGTGAATTCCATTTCTGGATCTGTAATTTGTTTTAGGTTACCTCCAATAGGACAGAAAGTCCAAACACCAAGAGAAGATGCAAACGGTAAGGTAGGCTGTTCAGGGTCACCTGCGCTTGCTGGAAAATACAGGGTGCTATTATGTACCTGCAACCCACGAACTGGAATGAATGGCTGAACTGACCCGAGCTATTTACTGCAAGATGGGCAGCTTCGTTTTGGGCTAATGATCACCAATTTCCAAACTGATAGATGGTGGTTAGACAGTGTCTGTGTTGGCTAATATCGACCATCAAATGAACCAGATCTCAAATCAGTGAAGAGGTAAGCCTCTGGGTACATCTGGGAGAGACTATGCTGATCTGACCGAAAGATCCACTCTAAAGTGCATAGTGGGGCTGCATGGGCTCCTAGACAATAAAAGGAGAAAACCAGCTGGACAACAGCCCTCATCGCTTCTTCTCTCCTGCAGATACAATGTAACCTGCCACATCAAGTTCTTGTTATCTTGGCTTCCCTTCCACAATGGAGTATACCATCAAGGTATGAACAGAAATAAGCTCGTCCTTCATTAAGTTGCTTCTGTCAGGGTATTTTAGCATAGCAACAGGGAAAGCAACCAAGACAGTATCTAAGCACTGAAATTCCATGTTTTCATGCCTGGAGTGTGGACGCTCATAACACTTTGGTTGTGTGACTGAAATAGTATTTGTCAATTTTCAGGTAATGTCTAGGATGCTACGTTACACACTGTGCAGCTTAAAGAAATGGTTGTATTATTCTAGACAGAAACTGTGGGTATCAATCACACAGGGGGCCCAAATTCTAGGAATACCTGTAGTCGTGACTGAAGACTCAAGTAAAGAATTTGAACTGTGGGGACCAACTGTTCAAATGAGTTCCTGTAATACACAAAGAGACAGTGCAGATCCTCCAGAAAGAAGGACAACCTGTGAGGAAGACCAAAGGACAGGCATTGGAGTCCCATTTTCTTCTCCGCCCTCCTCTGGCTCAACCAGCCTCCTGATGCCTCCCAGACAGACCCATCATGCTTCGGTGATCCCCCAAGCACCAGCATCCCCACTCTCTTCAGATTCCTGCTTGCATGTGGCTCCAGAGAGCCTTGTCTTCCAGACCTGCATACTTTCCCTTCCTTCTTGTGGCTTTACTTTGCTTTATTATCATATGCAATGTTGTGTATTTTCCTTCCATTGACATGACACAAGTAACACAAAACAGGAGCTTCATCCCTCTTACTCACTGCTTTATGCCCCAAAGTTACACCTAGATGGACATATATGAATGAATAAACTGGTTTGGGTTCTAGGTCTTCATCAAAACAACTCACCTGGATAGACAGCTAGTAAGTGCTGATTGCCTGCAGCTTCATAGTTCCATTTCTTTTTGTTCATTTGTTTTTGTTGTTAAGACACATTACAACCTGGGAACAATAGTTCCATAGATACCCTGGGTTCCCATAGCAGAAGTTTCTGCAGGGCAACTTATTTCTCCCCAAGAAAGTCAGAAATCAGAACCAATGACTGCCATTTTTGGTGGTGTGTTGAAATTATTTTCTACTTCACACATGGTGGTTATATTGATTTGTCAGCTCCTTGTGAGTAACACAAAGATCTTCTAATGCTTTTAGCACAAGGTTTGGTAAACGTTTTAAGAAGCAAGGTGGAGAATGTTCTTCATACTTAAGGCTTTGGGTCAATTAAAAATATTTGTTTTGTTTAAAGCATCAAAAAAAGTTGCTGGGAAAAGTAGAGATCTTTAGACCTGAGTGTTAGAGATCATCCATCTGCAGCTAAGGTCTAGACATCAATCTAAAGTGCACTACCTTGATGTCTCTCATTGGCTGGCATTCTTATTACCAGACAGTGGGTCCTTCATACACTATGGGAATGAATAGCGTGGAAATCTTAGTTCTTCTGTGGAGATGAATATCAAGGGTAACTGCAGAATTTCAAAAAACTTATAAATATTTATGAACCAAGAAAATAAGAAGTGATTGAAATAAAAATAGAAAAGTAAAAGTGAAAGAGAGAAGGGAGGCAGATTAAATCACAGGCAGATAAAATGCTTACTTCTAAGCACCCTGACAGCCCTGGCAGAAGAGAAAAAAGTGAAGACAAAAAAAAAAAAAAAAAAAAAAAAAAGCGGGAATTTTGTGGCCTTCCGTACTGAAAAAAACTGATCTTACAAAGGTCAATCTGCTATATTCTGGCATCTTCAGGATCAGGATCCCAGAAAATGCAGAGATGCCATGTTTTACACTGATTCTCAGTGTGAATCAAGGACACATTATAATTTGCCCTAAGGAGAAGATGGCAATGGCAGCTGAGCTCAGCTAGCTAAGTTTCTGACTGAAGCTAGAAAGTTTAACATCAGAATTCTAAATATCTTAGGTATTTGAGAAACTCAGCACAGACAGTTCTGTGACAAGCTTTTCTTTTCAGGTCTCTGCCCAAATGTGACCTCTCTGGCGTCTGTTCCACCTGTCCTGAAACTTGCCCATCACTGTAAGTAACCCTTTTACCAAGCATCCTGTTCATCAAAGAATAACATTACTTCTGCTTGCTTTCTCTAAATTATCAGTTCTCAATATATGGATTGGGACCTCTTTGGGGCTCGAATGACCCTTTCATAGGGGTTGCATATCAGATATCCTGCATATCAAATATTTACATTATGATTCATAGCAGTAACAAAATTATAGTTATGAAGCAGCAATGAAAATAATTTTATGATTGGGGGTCATCACAACATGAGAAACTATAGTAAGGTGGTCACAGCATTAGGAAAGTTGAGAAGCACTGCTCTAAATAAAATTAGGCATCGATGGCAGACATTTTGTTTTGGTCACAGAGTTTTTCCTGATACTTGGTTTACTGTGCTCAGTGTGTAGGATTGGGTGAATTCTTGCCTGGAAGATAACTTTCCATTAAAAAGAGTCTGGTGCTTAAGAGTATCTGCTGTTCTTGCAGAGGACCTGAGTTCCATTCCTTGCACTCATGCTAGTGTGTTTCACAATCACTGTTAACTCAAGTTCCAGGGAATTCAACATCCTCTGATGGTCTCTGTGGGCACCTTTGTGCGCACACACACATGCACACACAGACATATATACACATAATTTTTAAAAGTAGCAAAGAATTGGGGTGGAGAGATTGTTCACTGCTTAGGGGCACTTATTGCTCTTGTACAGGACCTGTGTTTGCTTCTCAGTAGCCCCAGGGTGGCTCACAACCATCCACAATTTCAGTTCTAGAGGATGCTACTCCCTCTTCTGTCCTCCATGGGCAACAGGCACACACATGGCACATGTCCATATATGCAGGCAAGACGCTAATACACATAAAGTAAATAAACCTTAAAAATAGTAAAGTCTTAGAAAATATTTTTTTTTTTAGAAAATAATTTTTGTAATGTAAAGAAAAGTAACATCTTATTTCATGTTAGTTGCTGGCTTGTAAATCAGAGAGGGAAGACAAGTATTTCATAATAACTAGTTTCTACATACACGACTTGAGGAGAGCAAAAGAAAGGTAGGTTGCGAAGAGTGTAAAGATGTAATTTACATCAAACAGAAGAGGAACTGGAATCACAACACTTTTCATTTCTTTCACCCGTCAAACATCACAGAACCTCAGTACCTGAAGTCAGCCTGACACTACCTGTCGACGGTGCTGTATGTGTTCTTATCCTGGGTTCCTGGCCAAGGGTAAACCTACCATCCTTTAGACACGACCCCAACAGCGGGTCTTCAGTTTGCATGTGCTAAGTATTGACAAAAAACTCCTCTCTTCTTGACCGAACAGTCTGTAGCTGTATTTGTTGCTGGTTATTAATATTTATCACTGATTTATCTTTTACTTAAACAATGGTTATTCCAAACCCAGCTGTATACCCAAATCACCACAGAGAGACTAGGATTTATTTAAATAACCCAGAGTACAATGCTGGGCAATAGTTACTCCATCCTAAACCTCCAAGCCCGCACAGTTTTCCTCCCATGCAGATTTCCCACATTATCCTTACTTTTAGTCATGTCTTAGCTCCAGCTCATCTCTCCAAAGTCCTTCCCTGCCAATCTCTCCTCTCCCAAAGGACTTTGCTTTCTTAGACGCAGCTTCCCTTCTAGACCTTACCAGTTCAGATGCCGGAGGTGTCTCAGTATGTCTTTGGCTCCTGCTTCCAGGGAGAGGCATTGTTTTCTGCCTCCCTCACTGGATCCTGACCCCTTCCTCACTCTAGGAAGTTAGTTGGTCCACAAATGTTTGCTCCTCAGACAGGCAAGAATCCCTTCTCAAAGGGATTTTGCTTTCCGCCTTGGATAGCTAAGTCTGGCTTTGTTAAAGAGCCACTTTTTTCCCTAAAGAAATTGCCTCTCTGGAGTTTGTATGTATCAATTTTTCTTTTTCTGCTGCCTGCTGGAGGCTTTGCTGCTCTGCAGGGGTTTGTCTAATCAGGAATCTGTGAGCTCCTAGTTTACGAACTTCCTTTGCTTTGGTTTTAAGGACAGAACTAAAAAACTGCTCTGTAGTTTTAATTTCTAAGGAACTTCTTGCTAGATTACTGTAAATTCTGTTCCATATCAGTACACCATTTGTTGGTTATGAACTTCTGAAAATCAGTTTGGAAGTCATTCTTTCAATCATAGCTTTAAGGGAAATTTTAGTTTAAAACCAATCATTGACAGCTTGCCATTTTTCCCCTGCATACATGTCTGCGTACCATATGTGTGCCGGTGTCTAAGGCAGCCAGAAGAAGGTGTCACACCCTCTAGGACTGGAGTTACAACCATAAGCTGACATGTGGGTTCTGGAAATTGAACCCAGGTCCTCCGGGAGAGCATGCAGTGCCCTTAACTGCTGAGCTATCTCTCTAGTTCTTCCTGAAGTATTTTGAACCACAGCAACGGAAGCATTTTGTGGCTGTTTAATACATCCCATTCCCATTGCTGATATAGGTTCAGTCTTGTGATCACCATGCTTTAGGAAAGGGGTGGACGTGTCATGAAAGCCAGCAGGCTGTGAGGCTAATTCTGACACCCAAACCAGTGTTCACACACAGGACACACACCAAAAGTCTACGAGGTTAAGTGCTACAACTGATACATGTCTCAGCATCATGTGTCTAGGTCTGTAGCCTCCTTCCCAGTGTTTCATTACAGTGGTTGGATAAACAAATGGTAACAAATTTTTTGGTGCATAGATATGGTGGCAATTCTCATCAGAAGGAAAAGTTTCTAGTCGCCACTCAATGGTCATAGAAAATTGAAAAGTATAAGGGAAACTTCAAGTGTCTTAGTTATATCTTGTCGATCATGAAAAATGAGGCACCTGAAGGCTTAGTTGTCCGAGACTGTCATCACCAGCAGCCATCCTTCTGTGCAGCATTGGGTATAAGGCACAAAACAGAGGAATGCCACCCAGTCCTAGTCAGTGTTGCCTCTAGTGACAGTGAGGATAGTCAGCATTAACTATCTTAGTGTCCATCAACCTGAGGTAACCCTAGCCTGAGAGCTACATTGGCTCTTCTTTGCATTGTCTCTTTTTCTTTTCTTTTTTATTGAAAGCATTTTTCATATAATATATTTTGATGATGTTTTCTTCTTCCTCCAATTCCTCCCAGACAGTGTGACCTCTGCTTGTGGCATCCTGAGTCTTTTAGCCTAATACTGCAATCCAGCGCAGATACAAATGACAGAGTCTGACCACAAGGTGGAGCATGTGGCTCTCTAACGGCATTTAGCAGGCCCCTCACCAGGACGGTAGCACAGCCGCTATCTATGTTCAGGCTAGACTTTAGATCTGAAAAGGCCTCAAGCCCGCCTTTATAATGCGATATGGCCTCTTTTAGGGTTGGATGCCAACCTCCTCCACCTAGTTGTGGTTGTGTGGCTCAGTGGCATGCCACCAGGCCTCTGGCTTACCTTCTTGAGTGATCAGGGCTTTTCCTTTGCTGTATGTACTGTAAGAGGGAGCAACACAGTGGGAGAAAGGTTCTTTCACAGTCTCTAACATAGGAGGTAAGAGGAAGGTAAGCTTGACTCCTGATTGCAATTGCATGCAGCTGCCAGGCTGTGACTGCAGAACTGTTTCCAGAGCCCAGTTACTAGAGAAAGGAGCAAGAGTTTTGGTAGAGTCTGTCAGAGGGGAGGTACCGGAGAAGCTCCACCTCTGCCCTTTGGTGTGAGGAGAATGATAGCTTTCCAAGGCATGCTGGGAACTGCAGAGGACCCTTGGCATGTAGGTTTCCCCTAAGGGACTTGCGAGTGTGTGTTGTGGAGAGGCAGGAAAGGGGAAATGAGAAGGGGAGAGCAGAGAATCTAGACCTGATGTTCCCACCACAGTCAAAATGGAAGGGTAGGGAAAGTTGGCTTCCCTGAGGTTTGCAACAGCTGGAAACCTGGGTCTCTCTGACCTCTACCCTTTATCTCTGCAGAATATATTTGTCACAAAGACACAAAGATGACCTCTTGGTGGTGCCCAGAGAGGAGTGATCCTAAATAAAAGCAAAGTAAGGCCTCAAAATAAAGTACCTCCCACCCCTACCACAATTGCCTATGTTTTTGTAGCATGCAGGAAAGCATGCAGGAGAGCTGAGATAAAGAACCTGAGGTCAGGAAAGCACAAGTCACCTTAGGCACCCCAGGGTGCTACAAATGAGGTCCCTAGGTCAACACCACACCTATCTCCCAGCTTAAGGTCCCCTGCCACAAGGAGAAAGAAGAAGCTGGAAGCAGCCACATATGAAAAAGGAAACTCTGTTAGCAACCCAACAACCAGTTTACCGAGAGGTCGCAGCGTTTTCCCAGGACACCCTAAAGGGCAAAAAAGGACGCTTTTTGAGCAAGGTTGAAGCTTGGGATTGGGGTAAATATCCCCTCCCTCGCACTGAGGCATTTGCTCCCAGTTTTGTTTTTCCTCTAGGTTGTGAAGATTTCAGAGTATAGTGACTGCTGAGCCTAAATGTCAACTAAGTGGTGTCCTGAAGGGGCATGCTGTGAGAGTCATACACATCTCACAGGATGGCGTGAGAAAAGCCCATCTGAGGAAGACAGCTGGGCAGATGTCCTTAGCCAAGACAATGCAAAGGCCCAGAAGCCAGCCAAGGGCAAGGATGGGATGCTAGAAACAAGTGTTCCTTCATGAGCCCCTGGTTTAGCTTTCTGCCAGGTTCTACCGCGAAGAAAGAGAAAGCATCCCAAGGCTCCTCTGTATCGTATTTTAAAAGGAACATTCCCTACAATCGCTGTCTTAGCTGGGGCACAGTTAATTCCTGTTCTGTAGCCATGCAGATTTCATTCATTTATTCAGGTCAGCTCCACTAGGCTGTGCATCATTCTAACCTCATATGTGATCTGGAACTGCTGTTCTCAGTCGCCAGTACTCTCTGTGTCTCCTCCCCTGCTTCCTTTCCTTAGTATAGCTTTTCTCCAGCAGGGGGTCAGGAAACAGGTGTACTGGTAAATGGTCAACAACACGAGTGTACGCCGTTCATCTAAGTGCTTGTC